GTTCTGTCTGAAGCAATTCGATAAATTGCTTGCCGTTAAAGGAGGGCCGGGTGATCCATCAAAAGAGATATACTACCTTGCTATTAACAGATTTTGTATACCCCCCTTTTTTGGGGGGGGGACAAGTCTTCCTTTTTTTTCCATTCTTAAACTATAATGAAAACTTTCATACAAACTTGTACTGGTATTTTTTTCCTTCCTCCCCACTCCTCTTTTTCTAAGCACTGATAAATAAGGATTTTTTTTTTTTTTTTTTTTTTTTTTTTTTGTTGTTGTAATAATATTACTTTTGAGTTGTTGTTGTAGTTGAATTTTTAAGTAATTGAACAAGAATTAAATTTTACTTTAATGTTACTGCCCTATTTATTTGGGAAACAGAGATCAATCAAAACTTTTTATCAGCGCTTGTTGGCAGCTATAAATTATTTCAAAGTCCATAGCTTTTTAATTTGTGGGTAAATTAAAATATGTATTGTGTGAGGTTCAATTATAGTTAGTGTTCTACTGGAGTTCCCTTTTCTGCAGGTGGAAAATGCATTGTCCTTAATACAGGCTATGTGTCTAGCGAAATCATGAATCAGGTAAAATCACTAGTAAGGCATCATGACAAATCACAAAGCTGGCAGAATCATTGTTTACTAAAATACTTGTTTAAAAGAAGTTTGACAGAGCTTTCGTTCTGAAAAAATTAAGTTATTCTATATGCTACAATTGTTTAATTGACCTTGAACATGTATACGAGGTGTGACACACACACACACACACACACACACACACACACAAAAAAAAAAAAAAAAAAAAAAAAAAAAAAAAAAAAAAAAACAAGACTGTAGCTTGGGGGGGGGAAAGAGTGAAGTTGGCAACAACTGTTTGGAATTGTAATGATTGATTGGGTTCCTAGTGATTAGACTGTTAACCAACACTACTACATTGAAGTACTGAAGACTTCGGGAAAAAAGGCCACATTTGTAGAGTGATGGATGGCTGTTGCACCAGGACAACGCAGCCGCTCACACGGCTCTATCTGTCAAGCAGTTTCTAACCAGCAAAAACATTACTGTGATGGAGCAACTTCCTTATCCGCTTGACTTAACTCCATTCGACTTTTTTTTTTTATTTCCTAAAGTTAAATCTTGGTTAAAGGGAACCCATTTTACCTCAGTTGAAGATGTTCAGGCAAAAACGAAGAATCTCCTAAAGGGCCTTCCAAAAACCTAGTTCCAGAACTGTGACCAGTAATGGCAGAACCGAATGCAGAAGTGTGTGAATACTGAAGGGGGTCTACTTTGAAAGTGATAATGTCATAAAGAACTGATTCTATAAGTACAATGATTTATTGAACCAGTCTCTTTTTTGTGTGTGTCTGTCACACCTGGTATATATATATGTAAGAAAAATAAAGAATAAGTAAAAGATTAAATTAGCAGTGTAAATTAATTTCCTTTTTCTATTCTAAAAATAGCAACATATATTTGCATTGCGTCATTTCGATAAAAATGTATGTCATATGATTCTGACGTAATTCTGGTGATGCAAATTGAACTAAAACTCATGCAGCCAATAATAATTTTACAGCAATATTAACTCTCTTATCAAAATGCTTTGAGAACCAAAACTAACTCAGTTTGACTTAAGATTTCATCCTGAATATTACGCACTTTCTTTGTACGCTTTGGCTTAGCTAGACTTCTGTCTGTCTGCTGCTGCTTTCTTGCTACAAATATGTCAAAAATGTGAACTTTTTCGAATAGGCACATTTAATATGCCGACTTGTGTGTAGGCGTAACATTTTGCTGAAAATAAAACTGAAGATTTAATCTGCCTTCGCCTCCAGTTTTCTAGTCATTATGGATCAACACTTCTACGCCATCAAAATTACTTCTCCTTAATATATTACATACATATATCTTTCAATCGGGGAAGTAAGCAGGGTTAAGCTTTAAAAAGTTTTAAAAGTAACCCTCCCCGGAAAAAAAAAAAAAAAAAAAAAAAAAAAAAAAAAAAAAAAAAAAAAAAAAAAACAAGAATTGCAGATCGTAGATATGGAGTTGGATCAACTACATAATCGCTTACACTGAAGTGCTGTTTTTAAACGCATTTTGAGTTAGCTTCATTAATTATTAACAAATCTGAAGAAAAATCTAAGCTCATATCGATGTTATAATTCACATTTACTTAAATTATAAATGCAGCTCCGAGAGGAAAAATTTGTTGCCTCTCTTAAATTTATTTGCATTGCTCATGTCGGGGGAAACAGCCGGAAGCATTCTGGATATTTTGCATTAAGTTGCAGTTTCAAGGCACCTTGTTTACAGGATCTTTCTTCGATCCATAGAAGACGCTTTTCCATAATCAAATGGAAAAGTGATGCCGATAGCTTTGAAAAATCAAGATTTTCTGATGAGAGATTTTTATGTATGTGGTACTCTTCGATAAAATAAGCTTATTAAAATAGTCTGCAACGAGAAGTATCCGTTTGTAGTTAATTTCATTTTTTATGGTCATTCCCTCTGGTTATAATCGTATTATGGAAGCGAAAGGACGGAGTTCTATGCTTCCGTTTAGAGTATATATATATATGTGAGTGTATTTATTTAACATTTAAAAGGCACTGCTGCTTTTAAAACTTGATTACCTCCAAAGATAGTGATAACATGACCTCAGTGACCGACGTGATCAGATCTTTTCGAGCTGGCATAAGTAAATAAATGCATTTATTTATAAAAATAACTGAGGTTGAGACGTGACCATTCTATTAAGTGAACTTGTAGTGTTTTTTTTTTTTCCCTTAAGCAACTGATAGAAGTTAGTGTGTCTTTACGGTCACGTTTCCTTGCTCTTATTACACTATTTGCATACGACATCATAAGAACGAAAAAAAAGTTTTTTTTTTTTTTTTTTTCCCTCAAAAAAACGTTTCTGAGATTCTTTCGCCTGTTCATCCGATTTCTTGATGTCATCACCTCTTCCATATCTTTATTTGTTATTCATATCATATTTTTGTAGAATCATGGGAGAATCATCTGCAAAGTATTGTAAAAGCTAGTTGTCAGTGCACAATGCTCAACTGTTCCCTTGTATTTCCATATAGCACATAATTCTAACTTTGATTCTACACTTGTTTTTGTGTGTCTAATAAATGTATGTTTAATATGTATCTGCTTCAGATTTCTAAATTTAGCTGATATGCTTAAATTTAATGAGATAATAATGGAATAGCCATTCATATTAATTGATGCATATAATAAAAATTTAGTTATTTTTCTAGGTTTAGTAAGTTTTTACGCAACCTAACTGCAAAAGGAACGGTTTTATGTAAAATGCAGTATATGACAGAAGTTTGAAATATGGTCTACATCTGTGAGATATAAATGTGTAGAGAACGATTTTGAAAGAGTGACCAGTTATTAATACATAATTAAAAAATATTTATACGTGTATTTAAACGAAATTTGGACTTTCCAATTAACAATAAACGGTAACCTTCTAACTGTTAAGTAATTCTGATAAAAGATCTGTTATCCTGGCGATCAGTTTCCAAGAGAAATATTTTATTGCTTTTTGTAACCATAATATTTTTCTAAGAAATTTTCTTCTTTCTTTCCGCGTGCCTTCGTAGTGAAATTGGTAGCACATTTGTCTAGCATCCAGAGTTTAAATACTGGCTAGGGTGTCGCTGTTTTTTCATGTATCGTGCTTTAAAATAAATCTAATGATTTTACATACTTCTGCTAGGAAACTATTCTTTATGATCCATGAATAGTCTAATAGATAAATTAGCTCAAGTTTCGTTTGGTTTGTATTCTTCTGCATAAGATTAGGCGTGTCTATACTCGTCTATATTCTTTGGCGTAATCATTAAGCAATCAAATGATTAACTTTAATTAGTAACGAATTTTTCGTGAATGGCTTTTCTTGACATCAATGACGGAGGGGGGAACTCTGAAACTAAAAAAAATATGTGTAATGACAATTGTATGAAATCGGAATACCGTTTATGATGTTTTACAAGTTTCAGTGCCCTTTATTAACGGGTGCATTTTTGAATTTTAACCCTTTGACTATTAATGGGACGTATGTGTCCCAACTAAAAGTTTAAAAATTACTGCTGGGTTAAAAAGTACTTAGAATCTGCTGAATGTTGGGGATCATCTTCCAATAGTTAGAAAATGAAGACTCTGCTAAACAAATACAAGTTGCCCGATATATAATGTTGTGTTGTGCAAAGAATGCTTTACTCTGTACGATACGATGTAAAATCTATTTCATATAATTAACTTTTCCAGAATAATAGGTTTTCTTATAGTAAGTCGATCACTACGTGTGGGACATCCCACCATTAATTAGTTTTCAAGCCAAAAGCTGGGACATATGTGTCGTCCCAGCTTTGGCTTGTCAAAAAAATCCCGAATACTAACTTTCCTTTATTTATGACATATTTTATTCACTTATATAGAAAACGGGGTAATTTTTTTTAATTCGTAGTCAAAAAGTTAAAATATTTAACAGTTACTTATTTCGCAACACTCAGTAACAGTATAACACCTATAAGCTAAAATGCAATAAGCGGAATGTTAACTATAATTCAAGTTTTCTTCGTGCGTTCATTGTGCTTCCTTTTCAGAACTGATATCTACTGTGATCATTCGTAAGAACTTTAGATGCATTGGACAGTATTGCTGTTTTTTTTTTTTTTTTTTTTTTTTTTTTTTTTTTTTTTAATTTTTAAAAATTTTTTTTGAATATTTTAAGCAGAAATAATACTATTTTAAATGTTCTTTCGTTGAGGGAAGATATTTTTATGCCTTTTTACGACACATCTTCTACAAGTTAGCACTTTTTTTAATCGTATATTGCGTATCTCTTGTAATTTTGTAAAATTTTATAAATAATACTTTTTACCAAAAGTTTTAAATTACGTGATATTTATAAATAACATGTTATGATAAATTTTAATTATTAATTTTATGTATAATGGTAGCAAATATTTTTATTTTTAGGCCACTCGGAAGGTGTGCTGTTGTGGGTACTTGTTTGTTGCCCCGGACTGGGATTTCTCTTTACCTGCCAATCGAAATAAGGTAGGATTTTTTTATCTTTTCATTCTTATTGTTGTACCATTTTCAGTGTGATGATTGGCACTGTCATGCATTTGATGCATTAATATGCTGTAGACAAATTTATCTAGTATGCTGTTACAAATTTCGGTACTTATGTATTATCCTGTCGACCAGTAGCGGACATTTCAACAATGGTCGCCAATCATTAAGACCTGACCATAAGTTGACAGATTTATCTTAAGTCAACATCCGCAGATATCGACCCTACCATCTCAGTACCTCAGACTAAGGTGTCTCAGAATCTCGAACAAATTTTTTCCAGTGATTAATTATAAGAGATGCTTAGCATATAAACAGACAGACTGTACATACAAATAGATTTTATGTCCATCTTTTTCACTAAATGTACAAGACCTGAAACATCGAAGTTCAGACCGGCATTTGAGTCCATCGGCATCGTTAGTTATGTTCGTTTACCTCTTACATGTTGAGCGGCAAAATTATTTTTGGAAGATGATATCCATTAAATAAACACTCATGTACTTAATCCGTAACGTTTAATGATGCAGTGTACAAGTTCCAAACTAATAGTAATACTTTTAATAGTAATTTCGGTTAGATTAGCGGAATATCAGCTACTTGTTGAATCAATTAATATGGATTATCCTTTAGTGAAATACATAATAAAGTGTTTTTTTTTTTAATTTATTGCTTTTAAAACATAGTTTGAGAGGAAATAATAGACTGCGAGTTACGGAATGCTATGATGTTCTTTTTACGAGAATAATGAAATGCATAAAGTAATCGCATATTTTCCTGCATAAAGAAACTTGTAATTTGGAAATGGAGATCCAGAATCGCTAAAAAAATACCGCTTGAGCATTTTTCTGAAGTTGGAATTATGTATTTAGATCTATTATTGCTTTTGTGTATTAAGAATTACTATCATTTATAAACATTATAAGAATCATTTATAAGAATTAAAGAAATATTAAAGTATATAATTTCATCATCTAAAAGTGAATAATGAAGTGTGTATGAAAACGTTATGAGGCGTTCGATGAACCTGACCTTTATAGCTCCTAGCAGCTATCACGTTTTTGAATTACACGTTGCATTTCTAAAACAGTTTTCCATAAGTATTACGCTCATATTTTTAGTATGATTCGCTGAGCAGTTGTTGGAGTGTGTCAGCCTTTTTAATTGTACCTCGCATCTTAGTAACGAAAATTCTTATTTCGTTTCCTCGATCTACTTCATTGATCAAGAAGTAAGAGACTGCGTCATACTTATTAATTACTAACAGCAAACCTTCCGCCAGGAAGGAACTCCCAACCGTCATTATTATTTTTTCTCCTTTTCCCGGTTAATGCGACCTTTTGAACAAATTTGGAAATCGTTTCATTTACTGGGCTCTGCATTTTCTTTTTTCTGGACTCTCTTTCTTTCTTTCTTTCTTTTTTTTTTTTTTTTTTTTGTATCGTTTTGTTTTAATCAATTTGCTGAAACATAATCCAGTGCCCGATCTTTAGCGGATTCTCTCAGAAAATATTTGAACTGCTTTTGAGGGTTTCATCATTCATACAATGAATTAACGTCGCATCCGTTAGGTTTCGGTATAAATGATCATCCGGCACCTCCTACACGAATATTCTCGCTGAGAACTGGAAGTCGCTTGGCGTTTTTTCAGTTGGCCTTTTTTCTTTTAAAATTTCGAATCAGTGTATCATTAATGCATCATTTATCTTATCATCATATTTTTTTGATTGATTACAATGCATTTAATTGGTTAGACCTAATAAAAGCGTTTAATGAAAATGGAAACTTGATATTTATACTTTGCGTGATGACGTTATAATGCAAAGTTTTGAATTCGCCTATAACAAAAGAAATAAATAGTGACGTAGACGAAGAAGATTACCCAAGGCCAGTTAGCGTGAGATAATGAAAAATCTGTGAAATTCGCCGAAAAGGGTTGTAGAGACATTGGATTGATTGGAAGCAGAAGAAGAGAAAAATGAGCAATCGCCTTCGCCGGGAATCGAACCATGAACCTCTGGAATACCGTCCCAGCGTGCAGAACCACTACACCACGAAGGCACGCTAAGAAAGTTGGAGAAATACCTTATATACTCCCCCTTTTAAAAGGCGACTGGGGGTTTTGGTTACCCAATCGCCAAATCCTGGTGGGGAGAAATCATCATCCACCACCTTTTAGTTCGGGCGCCACTGTAGAGACATTAGGTTGACTGGAAAAGCCGGAGAGATGAAAAATTAGCAACCACATTTGCAGGGAATCGAACCACGGACCTCTGGATTACCGGCCGAGCGTGCAGAACCACTACACCGCGAAGGCACGCAAGAAGTTGGGAGAAATACCTTATAGGGTGATATTGAAAAAATAAATAAAATTATATGTGTATATATAGGCGGAATCTTATGAAACAGTTGGAATCTAAGAAGCGTTTGAACTCTCTTTTGAAAATGCGCTGAATGTGATGATAGCTTTAAATCAAAAACTAATTGAATATAAATATAAGTAACTATATGCGATTTTTTATTCTTCAGTACATTCAAAAATGTGGGAAGAGTCATTTCTCAGAATTATATAATTTTAATCCGATAATCAATCTCTGAAGCCCCGAAATGTCGGATTATCAGACTTTAGCTATACTGAGTGATGTCTCTAAGTGAAAATTCCTGTTTCGAGAGTGTGCCTCCTTTTTAGCCGAAAGGGCATTAGCCCAGAAGGTCTATTAATTTTGTTTTAGCATTTTGAATTGAAAACATTAAATGTCGGTTGATTTTTCAAATTGTTGCCACCAAATATTATCGCCCTGTGTTATAGTACTTGAAGAAATTAAATAATGAAGAATCTGCATAAATGTATGTATATGTTTCTCGCATTGTGATAAAACAACGGTACCTAGAATCATCAAATTGTGAATAACGTAATCTTCCACATAATATGGGCAGCTAGAAGCCCGAATTTGAAATTTGTTTCATTATCGATTTCATATTTTGTAACACTTCAACGAATTTTTGATTAACAAACTCAACGATTTCAAAACGAGCAATGGCGAAACTGTACGGGGGGGATATTTCCAGCGCGCGAAACTGTGTATCGAAAATTACAAATATATGATTTTTTGCGATATTGAACTGAATTTTATGGTTTAATTGCGAGGAACATGATATTTAATAAATAAAGGTAACCTACAAAACGTTAAAAAAAAACGCCACTTAGGTCGTAATGTAAAATCTGATAGCTTTCAGATTTTGTTGTTGTTGTTTTGCGTGTGTGTTTGTATTAGATTTTAATGATTTTCGATGATTTTTCTGTTAACTTATATGCAAAGCACTGTTCTAAATTTTAAATAAACGGTCATCTGTAGTCCAGAAACGAATTAATTCATTTTATAACAGTTCTTATGGGGGGGAAATACACTGTCCTCCAAAGGACACTTAAGGAACAGCAGGTTTTTGTGTTTAATTTGAGAATGAAGCAACATAGAAAGAAGAAATTTACAGGACATGTTCAACAATCTGTTGAAAATAGAATACTGTTTGAGTTCACTAAACAGTTATAAACTCAGTGTTCTATTTTCAACAGATTGTTGTGCATATAATATATTAGCTTGCGCATGTAATATATTGCCCTCCAAAGTTACGGAAAAGCAGTGTTTTTTTTTTTTTTTTTTTTTTTCTGTGTCTAATTTGGGAATGAAGCAAGATCGAAACAAGAAATTTACAGGACATGTTCTCTCAACAGTTCTTTAATGAATGCGACGTAGAATGTTTCTGAAGTTTAACACAAACATGAATTACAACAAAAAAATTGCATTCTTGGCAGAGAAATCCAGTCTTGGAGAAATAGTACATCACAGTTTTTTGAGGAAAAATGGGGTGATAAAATGGGGTGCAAAAATGGGTTCTAATAAGGAATGTGTCCAGGCCTAGCTGCAATACGTTGGCGGCAGCGACTGAATTGACAGCATGGAAATGCTGTCAATTAAATTGCCGGTCAGTGAAATGGGAAGCAACGACCAGACACGGAGTAAGCCTTGTTCAAGCCCATTTAACGACCTTAGAGGAGGACTTAAGCAGCAACCTGTTTCCTTGGGTAGTCCCAAGTATGATGCATTGGATTTAGGTCTGGAAATTGAGCTGGCCATTCCATCCGCTCGATACTGTGAAGATATTCTTCAGCAATGCGAGCTTGGTGCTGTCGTGCATTGTCGTCCGTCAGAAGAAATCTAAAACCAAAAGCTGCGGCATATGGGAAGACATAATGATCAAGAATCTCGTCTCGATATCTCACACTAGTCAAAGTTCCTCCATGGAACACATGCGGGTCAGATACGACGCAGAGGGATCCCAGCCTAAACCATTATCCCACCACCTCTGTAACTGTGTCTATCCTTAATGGGAGATTAGTTGTATCTGGTGTATTGTTCCCTCCAGATCAGCTGACGGCCATGAATCACTTTTCAGTGTGAACCTGGACTCGTCTGTGAAAAGAACAGACGCCCATTGTTGACTGATCCAGGAGCAAGTTCTGTTGCTCAAACGGGCACCTCAATGTCCTCGGATCAAGGGAACACAAACAACTGTTCGTCTTGCATACAGACCTGTATTGTTCACTCGACTGCGGATTGTAGTATCTGAGATTCTTGTTCCTGATGCCACTAAATGATCTCCCAGGAGCTGAGGCACAGTAATGTTATGCCTCCTTCAGGCCGAAACAGTTAAATAACGGTCTCCCGAAAGTGTTGTAACTCTAGGTCTGCCTGGAACATGTCTGCTGGACACAGAATCCTCCAATTCAAACAGATTCTATAGTTGGTAGATCACACTACATTGAGATGTCTAGCAACATCAGCTTGTGGCATCCCATTTCCATCCAAAAATCATTCGATAACATATTTTTACTTAAAGGATACTGATGGAACATGACGCTCTTAAATTGTGTCGCCTGCGTACGGGGCATTCGCTGGGAGGCAGGTAACAGGTAACAGAAG